GTCAAAGGCTATGGCATTCGCGGGGCAAACCTGCTACGACGTGGAAACACGTTATCTGGTAAGCCTGTCGTTTGCTTGATTGATGAGCACTGCAAGTCCCGCTGCTTGCAGGTCCGCTCGAATCATTCAGCAGAGACACTAGCAGCAGCCCATCATGTGGAGGACTGGTATCCCATGATTGTGACTCTGCACGAGCTCCACGCGGGGCCGCTCACGCCCGCTCGGTTGAAATATATACTTGAGTTGGGTGCCCTGAGCAGCAAGGTCATTCGGATCATCGATGCTGAGTCTTTCTTAGTCCGTGTCAAGCAAAGGCTTGAATCAGCCGGCTGAGTGTACCCTTTTAGGACACATCAGTTGTATACGACAGATGATGGAGCGTGGAATCGCGCACTGCATTCAGTGGTGTGACACCCGCGATATGACTGCGGATGGCCACACCAAGGGGAGCATCGACGGAGAAATGCTCGTACAAGTCACGGGAGGTATACAGATCTTCAAACATGACCTGAAGAGACATACTCCATATCGGGCCGGCCAGACATCAAGTTCTGACGCCGCCTGATAAGTGCGCCATACACGTGCGAGGCAACTTGCTAACGGGTCCACCTTCCTCTGGGCTCGCTTCCTTTTCTGTCCTTGTGCAGGTTAGCTGCTATGCCTGCTGCATAGGGGCGACGGGCCCACGCATCGCCCCCCCCCCCCCCCCCCCCTTCCCGACTCTCAAGCGAGCTGAGGGACGTAAAGAGTGGAAGCGAGCGTGCGCCCGCGGCCGCGTCGGCCCAAGCGGCCCGCCGCCCAAATTTGACTGCGCCTCACTGCGAGGCATTCAATCGCTATCGAGACCAAAAGGATCTTCCTATTGCTTGAGATGGCATCTCCTCTCATACCGGGACTATCGTTACTACGGTGCGACAGAGCTGGAGCTTGGCTTCGCCTGAGGTGGAGCTGTTGGCTGGGCCTTCTAGCCCCCTTCAAACTCGCGGCCCCTCCCGCTCAGGCCCAAGGGGGGGGGGGGGGGGGGCGAGCCCCTCCCCGGCGGGGGAGATGGTTTTTGGAAGAAGAATGAAAGTCATCGTTAGACCACCTGCGCCCAGAGGGCTGGTGGGATTGCAGGCGCGCCAGGATCGCTTCTTACGTCGAAGAGGGCGTTCGTTTCTTATTGCGCGAATGACAGCATTGTCTCGAGGCTCCGTCGGAATGAGCGAGCGGAATTAGTGATGGATTTAGATGTCGTTGCTTGCGAGAGAGACTTGCGGCTCGTTCGGCCCTGGGCGTCCAAGGAGTTTAGGAGTGCTCAGCGGCTTAGGACTTTGCAACGAGCTTTCTGAGTGTGAGGGCTGCGTTTCACGAACGGAGTGAGGTCGGTAGTTTGCGAGCAGGGTTTGCGGCTCGCGCCGGGGCGCCTCTCGGATGCCTTGCAGCGAAGCCGGCGGACGCAGCGGAGCTGAGCGTCTCAGAATTTAGAGGCGGAGCTTGGAACCGCCTTCTGGCAAACGCTGTGCGGTGCTCGCAGAGTGGTTACTGATATGCATTAAGGTTTGTTTTGTTCGGGCGTTCGCTCCTTTCGAACGTTGTCGCTGTGGATCGCGAGATGATGCGGCGCGCGCCACGCGGGCTTTCCGCATCATCGGCATTATTTGACTTCCGCGCGGCGTTCCCGGGCATCGGTCACCAGTTTCTGAAGGGCATCATGGCCCACCTACGACCCCCGGCTTGGCTTTTGCTTTTCTCAGAAGCACTACATCACGACAGTCGATGCGAGCTGGCGGTCGGTGGTGCACGCCACGAGAGTTTCTGTCTGGAGACAGGCATTCGCCATGAATGCCCTCTCTCGCCTCTCGTCTTCGTAGTCGCCGCCGACGTGCTTTTGCGGCGACTGAGTCGGCTTTCGCCTGGCTGCCTGGTGCGCGCGTGCGCAGACGACCTCGCCGTGGTGATCAGCAATATTCGCAGAGTGCGCGTTGACATGTAGGTTGCAAATGGACTTCCCAGAGATTGTCCGGGTGCTTTTCTTTCCAGCGCGCGAGGCCTCGTGGCGAACAGCGTGGCTGCGGCGTGCCTGCTTTGGGGCAGCACCCGCGTCGCCTTCTCTGCCAAGTAGATCGGATTCAATGTGGGGCCAGAACGAGGGTGGCGCACGCGCGAAACCCCATTACGAAAGAATTCCAACCGCGCCCGGGCATGGGGGTCAATCGAAGATCTTCAATGGTTGAGCCACTTAGGTTTCCCAGAGGAATTTACGAATTTACGTCTGCTGTCGACCGCGGCACAATTCCAAGTGGCGCGCACCGAGGCCAGCGCGCAAAGCGGTGTGCGGGTCTCCCGGCGCGCCGCCGAGTTGCGCCGCTGACGCCAGAAGAACGACGAGGTGGTCCGCCTGAGCCTTTGAAGCCGACTGGTTCGACAGAGCGTTCGTGATCTAGTTTGACGCATCGGTGTCGCGGTGCACGGCCGTTGTCGCCTCGGTCGCAGCAGCGGAGCGCCTGCTAACGCACCTGTCTTTCATACCGTACATCGCAGCCGTGGAGGCTTCAGTCCGGCGTGGCTTCCAACGAGAATGTCGCCGCGAGTTGAAACCGTTTCCTAGCGTGTGCATTTTCCCGCAGATGGGGCAACCGATGCATCGATGGGGGTTGCCAGTGGAGGCGGCTCAAGCGGCGTCGCGCGCCCGCGCGGTGTTCTAGCAGCTTGGCCCGCTGGTGCCTCCACGCGTCTGGGCTGCAGTCCTCCACGCGCTGTGGAACGGATGGGTCACAGCGCGACGGTGGCCGCAGGGCCTCATGTATGGCGCCACGTGCATTTTCGGATGTACGGGGGCGGAGGATTCCATCGAGCATTACTCATGCTGCTGGCGGGTTGCCTCTTTCGCCCACGCGGCCGCCCCGCGCGCAGCCCAGCTCGCCGAGTTTTTCCTAGTAGGCACCAGCGATGCGCGCAGACAGCCTGCTGAGTTTACCCTGGGCGCCCTGCGCGCTGCCGCCGTGCACGAAGTGCGCAACGGGTGGCGACACGCAGCACGGTGCACGCCAGGAATGGTGCAGGAGGCGCTTGACCAGGCGATCGTGGACATGGTTGCGGGGCAGGCCCGGGCGACCCGGATCCTGGCCGAGGCGACGCGCCCCGCCCGCCTGTGGCAGCCGCGTAGGGCATTTTTCGCTTTGCTGGCTCTAGCCGCCCCATTCTGCTGTGTCGGCGCTGGGCCTCCATTCCCCGTCGGCTCCTGGGCTCCTTCCCCTCCTGGTATCCTCTCCCCGCCTCCCCCGTCGTTGGCATCGTCGTGTTCTTCGTCGTTGTCGTCGTCGTCGTCGTCGTCGTGGTCGTTGTCGTCGTCGTCGTTGGGCGGTCCCCTGTTTCCCCGCGGGCTTGCGCCGCCAAGGGCTGGCGTCTCTCGCCGTGGCCGTTTTTGCAAAACGGTCGTAGCTCACTGGGATTGCGCACCGCGCGCTGGACTCGTTGGTCGCTCCACGACTGCTCGTGCAACTGTTTCCCGGCCGTCTGGTGAGCATGGTGCGAATTTCGGCGCTCGGCAGGGGCGTTCCCCCCTCCCCCCGCCCTCCCTGTTGTCCGCCACCCTCCGCCCCGCCCCTCATCCGTAGCGCGGTGCCGGTGTTCCCGGCATGCAGTTTTGGCCGTGGTTGTGGAGGCCCAGAGCGCTCGTCCAGAGCAAGCATTCGCACCCTCTCGCCTCCGCCTCCCTCCCTCTTCCCGTCCTCCTCTCCCTTTCTCGCCACTTGGTGCGTTGGTGCCGTGCGCATGCGGGCCGAGGCCGCGTCTTTGCCCCGCACTGCCCGACCCTGTAGGCCGTCGCCCTGGTTGTCTTGGATCTGCGCTAGGCTTGCGTAGTGCTCTAGGCGGGGTTGATCTCTTGCGGGGCCGCCCTAGAGTATTTCATGTTGTGTCATCTTGACTCTGACGCGTGTTCCGCACCCAAATTTAGTACAAAATGATTTGCCATTCCTGCTCAGGGCCTGCCAGGCTCTTCAATTCACCTATTGTGAGTTTATCAGTTTTTTGTTCTCCCCCCTCTCGTCTTCTGTGTTCCTCCCTCGCGCCCGTCCTCCTTATCCGTTCCCGTTGCAGTTTCTAGCTTAACATGAATCTGGGGATGAGGTCTACAAGCCACGTCGTCGCATGGGTTTCAACTGTGCGTATTGTTGTCTTGAGTCGTAGTGTGAGGCTTTTAGATAAATTGTTGCCAGGACTATGTGGGGAGCGATGCACACAGCGCAGTTTTCAGTCATCGTGTCGTTTTTTTTCCTCTTCCTCCCCCTCCCTTTCCTCGGTGGCTGTCAGTGTTGAGCCTGTGGGTGCCAGCTTAGGGACGCAGCCGATTGGACTGATCAGACGGCAACAATCGTGTACGTGGTGGCTTTGCGCGATCGTCCCGTCCCTCATGCCCCTCTTCCTTCTTCCAAAAGTATGCGCTTGAAAAAAAAACGTTCCGGTTGAAGGCGCAACGTGGCCCCGTGTCGGCAGAATGGGCAGGCCGCGGGGCTTTTTGGAAAGGAGTGGGTACGAGAAGCGCGTGGGTCATATGATTGAGGAGAAGCAGTCTTTGAAAACCATACGGCGGGGTCTCACACGCAGTACCCAGTGGGGTGGCGGATCGCTTCGCTCACTCCGCCAGCCCATGTTGTAGCATCGTCGGCACTGACCTGCGTGCTCGCGGGTGCATTTTGAGTGGTTTGTGCGGCCTTTGGGTTTTTTTCTGGAGGGGATTTTTGGTGGGCCTCGTCTTGTTTCGGAAACGTTTCCCGAATTGGCTGTGGTAGTATATGAATGATAACAGAAAGCATGACACCCCCAACGCTTATCCACAAGGGCTCCCACGAGGGCGCGAAGATATTCGCGCTTCGCGGTCCTCGTTCCTTCTCCCCCTCCTCCTCGTCCTCCTTTTCTCCCTTTGGGGGGGCGGCGCGAGAGCGCGAAGTTGTTCGCGCTTCGCGATGCGCGGAGCGCGAAGCCCGAAGTTGGGAGCCCTAAATCCACGAGCGCAGGGCATCTCTTTTCTGAGCGGAGGGACGGTCCAGGTGGGGGCCCGGCCCTCGAGCGGGCGACGCTGGCTTCACAGCGTGGGCGCAGCTCGTGGCTCTCCCGGGCTTCCCGCCAGGGCAGCGCCGAATGCCCATGTACAGTTAGCGAGAGAGCCTGCAGGGCACCCGCGGTGCGCACCTGCCTCTCCCTCGGGCGGGCGGCAACGGGGAAGGCAAGTAGACGACGGGGGGCGAAGCAACCTCTGGACGCATGGTATCAGTTTTCAGGGAGGGCTTTCCCTCACAGCTGCTAACGGAATGTCCCGCTATTTGTCTCGCCGCTGTTTTTCTCGCCCCACTTGTGCCCCACACATTCCCCACTACTGGCCCGTTAAAGTCAGGGAAGCGAAAGACTCGAGTACGTCGGAACTTGGATTTGCCGACGCTTTTTGACAAGCGCTTACTGGATTTTGACGGTCCAGTTTCCGTGGGATGTCTGCAGCGGGAGTTCGCATCGAATTTCAGATTGGGTCTCGTCATTTTTATCATGGCCCCCGTCAGGCCAACCCGAGTCCCCCGAACCCGAGTTTTGCGTCTTCCCGACAATGCCGCGCTAACGGCCCACTAATGGCCCCACTAATGGCCCTGCTGATGGCCTACCAATGAATGTGGCTTGGTCCTGGCCCGCTAGTGGATTTTACCCGATGGTGACAAACTAATGGCCCACGGTGCCCACTAGTGATGTTCTTCTGGCTGTTGACAGACTAAAGGCCGAGAAATGGTTTTCGAATGTCGGGCGGGGCGAAAGGGGGGGATTGGGAAAGGGGGGGGTTCGAAATTTGCTGCATGCAGCTGGTTTCGGCCTCACCGAGGGGCCCATTCCTCGATACATGGCCGCCTCCGGCGCGGGAGGCGCCGGGAAAATCAGCTACGTGAGCTGATTCTCAAACCCCCCCTTTGCTATCCCCCCCTTTCGCCCGACCCGAGAATGGCTCGCGTCTCACTTTTCTTTCGCGTTGTCGCGATTGAAGAGATCATTAAAAGCAAATCAGGCGGTCATTAGCGTGCTATTAGCCAGGTTCAGAGGTATTGTGAGGCAGAGCCCTTCATGACAGTTCAGGGCCCCTTGCAGGGGCGCTTTCTGGCACGCCTCTATCGCCTCCCGCTTTTTTAGGTCACCCGCGTAGGCGCGAAGATATTCGCGCCTCGCGCTTCGCTGTCTGGGCGAGAGCGGTTGCCCTTCTCCCAGGGGGCGGCGCAAGGGCGCGAGGGCACGAAGATGGCCGCGTGTTGCGGTTCGCGGGGCGCGATGCGCGAAGTTGGGCGACCCAGTTTGTTGCCCCGCCGCGATCGTTCGGGGAGACGCAAGACTCGGCTTCGCCAGAGCTCGGGTTTGCGGACGCTCTTTGACGGGCCTGTCCTGAGTGTTGATGCTCCAGCTTTCGTGAGGTGTCTGCAGCGGGAGCTCGCACCACATTCCAGACCGGGTGTCTCATCACTCTCCTGACGGCCCCGCCAGGCCATCCCGAGCGCCCCCCGAGCCGGAGCCTCTTGAGCCTCTCCGAAGCGCCCGCCCGCCCCTCTCCAGACGCGCTCGCTGGAACGGCAGTCGGCGCGGGCAGCGCCCGCGGGCAGCGCCTGCGCACCACGAGGTTTCGGGCCGGGCGAAAGGGGGGGATAGCAAACGGGGGGTTTGAGAATCAGCTCACGTAGCTGATTTTCCCGGCGCCTCCCGGCGCCGGGAAGTGGCCATGTATCGAGGAACGGGCCCCTCGGTGGGGCCGAAACCAGCTGCATGCAGCAAATTTCGAAACCCCCCCTTTCCCCATCCCCCCCTTTCGTCCAGCCCGAGGGTTGCAGAGCCGCAGCGCAGCCGCCCGCGGCCGGGCCAAAGCGGCCGGGGCCGCTGGCGATCTCCCGAGGAGGCTGCGGCGAGCAAGGCGGGCGCCGTGGGCCCGAGCGCGGTTCCTTGGAGAGCGCGCCCGGCCCCCGCGTTTTTTGTCGTGCAGAGCTCACGACGGGTTGCGCTGCAGTTTCGGGGGGCCTCGCCTGTCCCCCAAAGTCGGTGTCTTCTTTTGTGCCTGACGCGGGCTCGACGCGGATCTGGTGTGGATTCGGCGCGGATTCGACGCGGAGGATTCGGCGCGGATTCGACGCTGATTCGGCGCGGATTCGACGAGCCCGACATGGATTCGACGCGGATAGGGGCGCGATGGGACAGACAAGGTCGCCTGAAGATGCAACACGTTGGACAGTTCTCCGGGAAACTGGGTCGAGGCCTTCGGGGGTCCACGTTTCGGGGGAACGTAAGACTCGAGTAAGCCAGAACTCGGTTTTGCCGACATTTTTTGACGAGCGCGTTCTGGATTTTGACGGTCCCGTTTTCGTGGGATGTCTGCAGCGGGAGCCCGCGTCAAATTTCAGATTGGGTCTCGAGATTTTTATCATGGCCCCTGTCAGGCCAACCCGAGTCCCCCGTACCCAGTCTTACGTCTCCCCGAACGTTCTGATCAAATCTCGGCGTCGGAGTTCAGAGAAGCCCTGGGAATGCCACCAGCGGGCTTGCCTCACGGGACAGGGATGTGATTGGTGGTTCTCGTGAATCTTCGAACACGAGGCTCCCTCCTGCTTCGGAGCCGCCACGAGGGCGCGAAGTGATTCGCGATTCATTCTGATCATCATCATCATCATCAGCAGCATCATCATCATCATGATCATCATCATCACTATCATCATCATCATCATCATCATCATCATCATCATCATCATCATCATCATCATCATCATCATAATCATCATCATCATCATCATCATCATCATCATCATCATCATCATATCCATTATCACACAGGGTACCGCAATAGGTTGTATAGCAGTGCGTCGCGACCAACTCCGGAGGGTGCTCAACGTTCGGGTCGTTGATGTGGCATGCACAGTTAGGGCGATGACCTTGCAGCTGGCTTGCAAACATTCGCGTAGCTGGAGCGACAGGAAGCCCATTGGATGGCGAGTCCGGCAGCCCGAAGACTTCTTCGAGAAGGTGGCGCAAGACATGAGTCTCACAGACGGCCTGTCCGAGATGTCTCAGTCGATAGGCTGGGCGGTTCGGACTATACTGGGCGACCGGTTAGTAACCGGATTCGGGCACGCATCGATCGACGGCACCTTCATAGACTCGAGGCGCAGTGGTGGCCGGCCACGACCCAGGGGCAGAAGATAGCGTGTGCGCGATTGGTATGGCCCGAGCGCCATCGGCTACGATCGGAAAAACAACAGCGACGGTCAGAGAACTTGCAGCGAGGTGGATAGGATAAACGGTCTAGACAAACACCTTCGGGCCGCATAGCGTTACGACATCCTGTTGACGGTCGGGAGGTGTGTCATACGCACGACGTCCAGTACCACGCAGAGCAGTTTTACAACAAGCAGTTTTCGGAAGCACTTGGGGTACATAGCTCTTTACCTGATTGGGTGTACGGTGAGTTTGACGATTCATGATGTTTCCAAATGACACATTTGATAAACAGCATTCTGACTCTGAAGAAGAACAAGAGCTGTTGTTCGAACGACATGGTTGTTGGGGAAATGCTCCAAGCACTTGCGATGACTGGCCCGGCCGCGCCTGCATCCATGTCCACTCTCATTCGTGAGGGTGAGATGGGGCCCGGTAGCTACGGAGGACTATGGGTTGGTCAGTTCGACGGCGCCCGAAGAGATGGCGCTCACGCTGGGTGCGGGTTTGCATTGTACGACGGCGACGGCGTGGAACATGTGGCACGTTCACATCGCCTGTGTGGTTCGGAGGCCACGTCCATCGACGCGGAGTGGCATGGGCTGATCTTCCTTCTCGAAGTTGCAGTTCAACATGGTGTCCGGGACTTGGTGGTCGAAGGGGATTGCGATCCCGTCGTGATGCAGATGGTCGGCGAGTGGATGGTATTAGACATTAGATCTTGGGAGTATCGGACTGTGGTTCTTGGGCTGGTCGCGGTACTTGGAACTGTTCGAATACGACACGTGCGTAGGTGTTACAATCGGGTTGCCGACAGGTTGGCAAACGAGGCAATCTAGAAGTACGAGCCGATCTCGCTTCAGGTGTTTGGTTTCACATCTACGTGTCATATCTGCTGCCCTGTTTGCGTCGCAGGGGGATTCATGGCCGAGTCGACGGGGTCTCCGGTGTACTTGCCATATCGTGAGAGCGCAGTTGTTCACCCATTATGGATCATCAAGGCGGCTATCGATAGAGACCTCCGCGGCGAGTTTTGCACTGTCAACCCCATGCGGGCCGCACTTCTCGAGCCGCCGCCCGTCAAGCGACGCAAGTGCTTGCACGATGTACCGTTCGGCATGGGTGGGCGCCGTTTTCGCACAGACACGCAACAGACATTGTGTGACATGGCGCCTTTACCGAAAGAACTGCTGGTTACCTAGTTTTCGATGCTTCGGCCCATCGCTGCCATGCCAGTTCTCCACAAGGCTGTGGGTGGAGCAATGCTGGAACTATCCACGATAACCTTGCACCGGAGTCTTGTTGTCAGTACGCATACAGGGAGGGGTATTCAGTGATCGATTTAGTATTGACGATTTCGCTCTTGGCCCAGCAGTGCATGCAGGGAGGTCTTGGTTTTGTTGTTGCGTTCGCGGACATCCCGGAAGCGTGCGATTTTCTACGGCATCGTTCTCTGCTTGCGTCTTTAGGGAGGCGTGGAGTACCTGACGGAGTTGTTGCATGGTTCTTACGTCACATTCGGTCTGTTAGTTGTCGTATTTCTGTATGCGGGACAACGCTTTCCACCGAGACGCTCACAAGAGGGGTGCCGCAAGGATCGAGACGGGGACTCAGATTCTTTAAGGCTGTCTTGAGCGATTGCTTTGACCCAGTATGGGAATCATGTGTCCAGGACTGCCTCGGCCTGCCATGCGGGACATCGCGCACTGCGGGGCCCATTAGCGACAGTGGTGTGCAGAGCGCTGTGCGTTGTGCGTCCCCATCTTGGTGTGGAGAGATACACGCCGGTCGCTGAAAGTAGGTATTTTTGGATTCCCAGATCCCAATATACTTCAAGCGCCTTCCTATTTCAAGAATCGACACGCTTTGGCTCTGTTTTGTTATTCCCTGGGGGGGCCTGGACCCAATCAACTATATCCGCCTTCCTCCTTCATGTTTCTACCTACTTCTTCCGACCGACGTGTAGGCCTGGAGTTGAAGCCTCGGGAGCGGACCAACCCATGAAGATGACAGGCGTATGCGTCAACTCGCGGGGGCAGACAGACAACGATGTGCGTACGACGACGGTTTGTACTCTTTCATGCGCTTCTGTTGACCACAGTTTACGTTGTAAGTCGAGCACGAGGGCTTCAAGGTTCAAGTTGATATATCGGGTGACTAAGGCGTCAGCTTTGTGGAGCTGCCCGGTATGGAATCTTTCACAGCGAGCTGCGTTGTCTTTACGGGCATCACAGACGAAGGCTATGGCATCACATCTGCGATGGCCCAGGGCCACGGGCGAGTCCGCCGGATCTTACGCCGAAGCCGTGCGGAAGGAGGTTAAGCAGATCAAGAAGGATAATTGTCTGTGCGACCTCGATGTTTTGGCTTTCCAGAGGCTGCACTCGTATGCTGGCCATGTCGTTCGCAGAATTGTGACGCACCCCGGTGCTATACTATCGCGGCTATCGCGGGTACCTTTGTGGAGCATCTACCAGCATGCCATGCAATCCGCACTGGAGGGACGGAACCAAGGACTTCGCCGCTTTAGCCCATGGAGTGTGTGGGAGTATCAGTTCGTACAGTATTACTGGATGGAACACGGTCTAGATTGGATTATGTTGGCCAGAGATAAGAAAGCGTGGAGACGATCCGAGAGTGATGTTGTAGAGTGGCGGCTAGGCGATATAGCGTCGAAGGCCGTCACTGCTTCGAGGTAGCTTAGCAGGCGAATGATGCTGGCTGCTGGGCCTCCGGGCCACTTAGAGCAGGTAACAACAACATCATCATCACCATCATCATCAGCATCACCATCACCATCATCAGCACCATCATCAGCATCGACATTGTCATCGTCATCGTCATCATCATCATCATCGTCATCATCACCATCATCATCATATGTAGTCTTTCTCTTCTTCCGCACGGGGCGGCGCGAGAGCGCGACGTGAAGCGAGAAGATAGCTGCCCTTTGTAAAGAGGGCGTCGTTGGTGTCTATGATCGCGCTCACGCTTGGGCTTGCTCAGCGAGTCTGCTTCTGCCCTGGCGCCCAGGCGATACATAAAGCGAGGCAGATTGATTAATGAGCCAGGCTATGTGGATCTCAATTGCCCCACCGACCCACCTTCTTCAGGTAACCGTTGCTGTCCACAGTTGCTGGAGGGAGGCTACTGCGTGTCCCGAAGAGCTCCGACCTGAACGCATCAAACACGGTCCCGTCCCGACCTTCCATGTGCAGGATCACGGAGGAAGCGAATGCTGCTGTGCCAGCCTACGTTTTTCTTGGCGCAGCGCGCCCCAGAGCACGTGGACCGCTCAGAGCCTGTAGCGCTCGGGCGTCTGATGAAGGTGATTCGGTGTGGACAAGTCAACGCAGTCTGGCAAATTATCTTCGCCCACGGCTCACGCCTTTGCCTGCGCATCCCCCAGCTCATGAAGAACTCTGGGTTAGTGATACTGAGATACATACCAATCTCACGACCCGCAGTCTATTCCGCCACCGTGCCCGGTTTGTGGACTGCAGTTTTGGTGGGGGCCTTCTTGTGGGAGTATCTCGTGTTCATCATCCTCGGGGCTCGTGCAGCTATCGTGAGAGCATTTCGGCCGTCGTGGACTCCCATCGTCAAGGCGAAAGCGTTCAGCGATACTTGTTTCGTAGGTCAAATCTATCGTGCCAAAGGCGGCTGCGGAGATAGGGAGGGAATGCGCCCCGACCTTGCGGCGTAGCCAAATTGCAGCTTAGTTGGGGTTTACAGGCGTGAGCTTGCATTTTCAGATGTTAAGCATTAGAACTAGTTAGGACCCTGGACTCTGGAAGCAGGCGTGTTTCGGCTTGCCCAGACGAAGCTCACATGGGATGCCGAATCGCAGAGATGCGATCTGCGTGCGGACATGCGAGGCTACCGGCGCGTAGGGTCCACAGATCTGTGGTACCTACGCTGGCCAGACGTAGGCATAGGAGTCGGAAGTGAGAATACCACGACCGACTTGAAAAGGTGTCAGAGTTGGAGAAGGGCGAGACATTTGTTTGCTATCCTCCTTCCCCTGGCCGTGCTTACTCTCTCTCTCTCTCTGTCTTTCGCTCTCTCTCTCTCTCTTTCTCTGTGTCTCTTCCCCTATTTCTTCAATATCGGAGGTGAGGGGGTGAGATCGAAGTGGAACGGAGAGCCCCCCTACCAGGAAATCGATTTCGGTTTCGTGTTCGTGCGTGCCGTGCAGGCGAGGCGAAGCTGCGTGGGCGGGCGAGAGAAAGTCTCCTGTGGCTGAGGCGCGGCCGGACCAAACGATTCCCTTCCGGGCGGCCAGGGCCCCGCGGTGTCCCGCCGGTGTCCCGCCGGTGTCCCGTCCGTGTCCCGTCGGTGTCCCGATGATAATGTTGATGATGATTATGATGATGATTCTGATGATGATGGTGATGATGATGATGATGGTGATAATGATGATGATGATCGATAGTGAGATCGATTGTGAGATCGAGAGTGAGATCGATTGTGAGATCGATAGTGAGACCGAATGTGAGATACATTGCGAGATCATTAGTAAGATCGATAGTGAGATCGATAGTGAGATCGATTGTGAGATCCATTGCGAGATCAGTAGTGAGATCGATACTGATATCGATTGTGATATCGATACTGAGACCGAGTGTGAGATCGATTTTGAGATCGATAGTGAGACCGAATGTGAGATCGATTGTGAGATCGATTGTGATATCGATAGTGAGATCGATTGTAAGACCGAATGTGGGCTTGTGATATCGATAGTGAGACCGAATGTGAGACCGAGTGTGAGATCGATAGTGAGATCGATAGTGAGACCGATCGAGTGAGACGTTGGTTCCTCCCCCCCCGAACCCCCTTATCACCCGAAGGGTGGTCGTATAGGTATTACAACTGTTTCTCCTCTGTTTCCTCTCTGTTGTTTTTCCTCTCTCTCTCTCGTTCTCTCTCGCTTTTCTGCCTCTTCTCCCCTGGACCTGCCTCGTGATTGTCCCTGGAGTTTCCGTCAGCCAAGCGGAAGCGATTCCCACGCGCGCGCATCCCAGCACTCTGCCATGGTGGGGATCCTCATCGTCTGCGCTCTTCGTGGACGACGGGTAGTCAGGGTAACCAGGGGTCCAGGCTGGGAGGGGCGCAGGCAGGGGCACACCTGGTTCGAGCGGCCGAGACGTTCTCGGGGGGACCGTGCGTATGTGTGTGCGTGCGTGTGCCCGTAGCTTGACTCAGGGCCGCTCTGGCTCAAGGGGAACCGCAGCGGCCCCGACCTCTGGCGTGCCCGGGAGAAACTGGGACCGGGCGTCCCGTCAGGGCCCTCCCCCTCCCCGTGTTGCGACGGGCGCCCCTGCCTGTGGCGAGGGGCCCGCGGCCCAGCGCCGGCGCCAGCGCCGCGCGGCCGCCGCGCGCCGCTGTGCCGCGGTCGCCGTGGGCGCCTCGCGCGGCGCGGGCCAGAGCCGCTGGCGCTGGGGCCGCCAGGCCGCCGCGCGCGCCGCCGGAGCCGAGGGCGCCTCGCGCGCCGTCGAGCCCGCCGGTGCTGCCCGGCCGCCGCGTGACCACGTTGGTGCCGCGCTCGCCCCCCGCGCCGCTGACGCCTCGTGCGCCGCCGGGCCCGCCGATGGTGCCCGGCCGCCCCCCAGCGGCCCTGGCCGCGCCGCCGCGGCCGCCGCCGATGGCACCCCGGGCGCCTCGGGCCGCGCCGCCGTGGCTCTCGGCGATGTTGGAGCGGCCGCGGCCGCCGTGGGCCTGGCGGGCGCTGTCGCGGCGGCGCGCTCGGCTGCTGCCGTGGCCGCAGTGGCTGCGGAGGCGGCCACCGCATGCGGTGCCGCCGCCGCGCTGGCGGCCTCCGCTGGCCTCCGGGCCGCGGCTGCGGCCCTGGCACGGGCCGCGGCTGCCGCCGCCGACGCCGTGCCTGGCGTCATACAGTCTGGCGCCGACCTCGACCTTCAGCCCGACGCCCGACCCGTTAGAGCGGTCGGCATCATTGATGCATCATCGTGCAATTGTGATCGATGTACGTAGGCATGTGCAGATATGACCAGGATAATGAAAACGAGAGAGGCGGAGAACAAACAACGGAGAGGCCGCCGCGTCGATGGCCGTAGAGAGCCCCAGCCTGCCGCATAGCTCGGCGCCCGCGGCCGCGGCACCAGAGCCGACTTCCGACGAGCAGATTGCGGCGGCGACGGCTTCCGTCCGGAAGACGGTCGGGCGGGTGGGGTCCTTGGACGTGCGGCTCGAGGTTTCGCAGTTTGTTGACCCCGTGGCGCTCGAGACGCGGCGGTCGCCGTGCCGCTGCCCGGGAACGAGCTCAGGGAGCTGCGTGCCGCCCTGGCGTGGTCTTCGAGGTCGCGCGCCGCTCCCGCCCCTGACGCTCGCCCGCGCCCTGCACTGGGCCCCCTCACCTTGGGTCTTCTGCGGCCTCTGCGGCGACACGATGCAGCCAGAGGCTGCGCCAAGGGCGTCGGCCTTAGGGCGCGGCCAATTCGCCGCCCCGGCGCGGGGAGAGGTTCTGCGCGGGAGTGCTGGCCCTGCGGAGCGGGTCCGCGCGGCGTGGGCCTGGGCGCGCGGCCGCGGGTGTTGTCCCTCCAGGGGCGCGGCAGAGCACGGGGTGTAGGCCTCAGGGCGCAGGCCCGCAGGTGCTCCTGCTGCGCGGCGCTGAGGAGCAGCGCGGGGCGAGCGCGCGAGGCGCCCCGTGCCCTGCGGCGAAGAATCGCGTCGCCGAGGACTACTCAAGGCGGCGTCAGCGGAGCGCAGGGAAAAACCAGGAGTATAAAAGGAGACATGGAGGGAGGGAACTGCAAGGACAGAGAGAGAGAGAGGAAGAGAGAGAGAGCGAGAGAGAGAGAGAGAGAGAGAAATAGAAAGAGAGAAATACATATATATATATAGAGAGAGAGATAGAGAGAGAGAAAGAGAGAGAGAGAGAGAGAGAGAACGAGAGAGAGAGAGAACAAAACAAAAAAACCTGGCGAACGACCCAACCATATGCATTTGTGAATCCAGTCGTTGTTTGCATCGCCTTCGGTGGATCTTCTGGGACCACGAAGCGCGTGAAGAGTGCCGAAATGGGGTTGGGCCGCCATGCGGGCGCTGCTACTGGGGCCTGATGTAGAGCCCGTTTATGGGCCCGCAAAGCGTGTGAGGGATGTGCCGAAGTGGGGCGGGGACGCCATGCGGGCACTGCCACTGGAGCCTTCGGTGAAGCTCCCCTACTGGGGCCACGAAGCGCGCTGTGCCAAAATGGGGCGGCGCCGCCATGCGGACTGCGGCACTGAGACCTGAGGTGGAGCTCCCCAGTGGGGCCACGAAACGTGCGAGTGGTGTGCCAGTATGGGGCGGCGCCGCCATGCGGACTGCGACGTGAGGTGAAGCTCCCCAATGGGGCCACGAAGCGTGCGAGTGGTGTGCCGGAATGGGGCGGCGCCGCCATGCGGAGTGCTGCGCCGCTGGGACCGTAGGTGGAGCTCTCTATGGGGCCACGAATAGTGCGAGTGGTGTGCCACGATGGGGCGGCGCCGCCATGCGGACCGCGCCACTGGGACCTCGGGTTGAGTTCCCCATGGAGCCACGGAGCTTGTGAGGGGTGTGCCAAAATTGGGCGGCGTTGCCATGCGGAGTGCGCCACTGGGACGTTAGGAGGAACTCCATATGGGGCCACGAAGCGTGTGATGGGCGTGACAAAGACGATGACGATGATGGTGGTAATGACGACGATGGTGATGATGACGGCCATGATGATATTGATGATGACGGCCATGATGTTGATGAAGCTGATGACGTCGATCGCGATGACGATGATGATGCTGATGATGCTGGGAGGACGGAGGGAGGAGGGGGACGACGGGAGGAGGAACAGGGGGGACGCGTGGCGCAATCTCTTCAATATGAGGACCCACCACCGCAGGATGGTTGGGAAAGTAGCCAGGCGAAGGACCCAACCATGTGCAATTGTGAATACAGTCGTTGTTAGTATCGCATTCGGTTGATATCCTTATGGGCCAGTATACTTCGATCGGCGATACGCCCCGCGACGGGAGTGGAGGAGTATCATGGCGGAACTCCCTATGGGGCCACGGAACGTGTGAGGTGTGTTTGCCAAAATGTGGGGCGGCGACGCCATGCGGACTGCGCCACTGGGACCTGAGGTGAAGTTCCCCAATGGGGCCGCGAAGTGTGCGAGCGGTGTGCCAGAATGGGGCGGCGCCGCCATGCGGACTGCGCCGACTTCGGGTTGAGTTCCCCATGGGGCCACGAAGCTTGTGAGGGGTGCGCCACGACGGGGCAGCGCCACACTGTGGACTGCGCCACTGGGACTTTGGGTTGTGTTCCCTATGGGGCCACGAAGCTTGTGAGGGGTGTGCCAAAATCGGGCGGCGCCGCCATGCGGAGTGCGCCACTCGGACCTTAGGTGAAGCTTCCAATGGGGCCACGAAACGTGTGAGGGGTGGTGTGACGAAGACGATGA